ACAAGGGACTACAGTCACTTGCTCCATCTCAGGTGGGTTCTTCTGAAAGCCCCTTCTATGACATGGAGTGACTGGACAGGCTTTCAGAAGAACCCGCTTGAGACAGGATTGCAAGCAAGAGCCAAACACAGAAGCGGATTGGCAGCCTTTCCTGCCAGGCTTACAGTTCTAGCCCCATTTCTGTACATGCCTGAGAACTTCAGGGCTTGTGCTAAACCCACTCAGGCATGAACGATTTGCAAAACAAAGGGGCAATTATGACCTTAATGCTTGTCACAGTGCGGAAAGCCATGGCAGAGAGAGAAAGCATTGTTGCTGAGCGGTTTAAAATTCAAAGATGCAATTATTCCTTTGTTGTGGGTTAAGGCGGGCATGGGAGGGGGGTTGCAAATATTACAGCATCATAAGTATTAGACACAGGGGACAGACTGGATGACCTTATTTCTAACAGAGCAGTTTGTTTTCTTATGATGTCAGTCACAGTGTTTCTTATGTAAGGAGCAAGGTTCTCCTCAGGCCCCAAGAAACAGCGAGGCTGTTATTTGCTGAGAGCCTGTCATGTATTCAGTGTATTCAGTGCCGTCCGTCCAAGCTAGAGACACAGCCCAGCCGCCAAGGAATCGATCCTCTGGAGACAAGACAGATCGGACATGCTGGACACCATTCGCTCAAATCTATGGAATTTCTAACTTGCTAACCGGCTTTGAGGAAGAAGCATGTTTTAAGGTGTTGGTGTTTGTGTGTCCCTGAAGAAGGACGGATGTGGGGGAGAAATGGACTACCTGAGCTGCCACTCCTGGCACTAGGGCTGCCATGAATGTCGCTGTTCAGGGCAACCCCGCGTGTATTCCCCCTCCATAGTCCACCAACGGCACCCACTCCTAGTCTCCTGACTCCTCAGCCATCACTTCTCTTGGGTGGAGACCTCTCTCCTGACCAGGGTTTTCCAGGCTGCACAGTTCCCTGCCTACAGTGTGATATTCTCAGCAAGCCAGACTGCCTAAACAGGCCAACGTCTGCATTTTGCTTTCTCTCCAGAGACTATGAACAGCTGTAATTGCCAGCAAGTTACCACACAGCTCTTTATAAGCAAGCACATTTTGTTCTTAAGGTGAAAGCATTGCAGAGAAAACATTAAAAACAATACAAGAACCAACATGCATGCTAATAAGCTTAGCAGAGATCACCCCAACCCCAGCCATGGGCTTTGGAGGAGTCAGTCCTTCAAACCCCACAAAGTATTTTTGTAAGGTTTCAAGTTGATAACAGCCTTAGCTCAGAAGTAGCACCCCCGTGAATAGTTCAGTCTTTCCTTTATAAAGCATGGGCCTTTGATGTTGGCCTCAAGTAACTGGTGATCAGCAGACAGTGGCTCACTCCTCAGGGCACAGTTTCAAAAGGCAGGGGGAGCGGTTCCTAACAAGAGGTGGGGAATTTGCATTCACCTCCTCCTAGATATTCCCCAGGAAAAAACACTTAACCCATTTTGTTCCAAGGGTCCAGTCTTGTCTGGCATATCCAGTACAATTGTTTGAACCCCCAGGTCTCACATCTGACACACCTTCCCCCTCAAGAGGTTACGTACAATCCTGGCCCACAATAATCCATAATCCATTCGTTACATACAATGGACACCAAAGATACTTAGACTTAATTCAATAAGGTCTTCCTAGGATATCCCTGGAGAAGGGGAGAGGTGGGCTCCTGAGCTGCCATACCTGGCACTAGTGCTGCCATGAACTCTACCCTGACCCCTGCCTAGGGCAGCCTCCAGAAGACACATCTCAGCAAGCACAAATGGGGCAGAGGATATGACCCATGTCCTGTTCCCCGCTGCTATTGCATATTTGTATATAGTGATGAGCTGCTGAAGTTGCAACAAGGGGCTCCTATAACAATCCCTCCCATTAAGCCCTGATACAGCTATCCCTCCCCTCCCCCCGAAGTTCAGGGCCGCAGTAAAATCAGTGGGGCTCTGACTGGTGCACATGGCTGAGTGTCTTAGGCTGTTTAGAAGCCCCATGTAGCAAGGACGCAGGTGTCGGCAGAAAGGACAGGTGAGGAGCTGGGGCTCCTTGTCATTCATTTTCTCCCTCAGACAAAAGTTCTTTGTCATAACCTCAAGCAAGGAAGGGAGGCAGCATCACTGGGCAAACAAGCATTGGTGCATTAAGTGTGCTAGCTGGAAGGGTCCCCCCCTTGATACAGAGTATATTGACGGACTGATGTAAGAGCTATGGGCACTCTGAAAATCAGTCTGTTTTAGTGTGTCTCAAGGCACACAAAAATTGAGGCACACAAAATTGTTACCTATTTTTGAAAGTCTTGGCCTATATCCCCATCTCTCCCATTTGCACAAAGCAGAGCACAGAGGTTCCAGGTGGAGGCTGCACCTGTAGAGCATAAAGCAGAACTACTGTACCTTTTTTATTCATTCGGAAGGCATGCAAAGCCACTGGCCAAGACAGAAGGACCATGACCGCTATTGCACCTATGTGGAGATAGGGAGCTGTGACCTGGAAGGGAGACAAGAGGATTGCTGTGAAAAGCCAATTTATGGAAACAAACAGCGCTCCTAATACTGACATAGTCGAGCTAGTGCACCACACACAAGGGATACTGCTAGAGGTACAGGCAGTTTTCCCCCAATCTTACACTTGGCTTGGGCCCTTTGAGAACTTCGTGGTAGGTCAGCTGAAGTATACCGACGTGATCCTCAAGAGTCCATCAAGCCTGTTCCTGAGTCAGCCAAAGAGGATGCAGGATAGCAATGCAAGGCTGAGTGCACCATCCTTTCCCCCAGGGGCTGAGTGCACCATCCTGAACTCAGCTTCTTCTCTCAGTCTTCGTTCTTATATGGCCCCTCATCACCGTAGTACCTGAGTGTCTTCCACCAGACAGTCAGGGCATTCCAGCTAGAGTCAGTTTCAACACCACATTATGAACATTACCAGTTATGTATCAGAGGGGTAGCCGTGTTAGTCTGAATCTGTAAAAAGCAACAGAGGGTCCTGTGGCACCTTTAAGACTAACAGAAGTATTGGGAGCATAAGCTAATGCTCCAATACTTCTGTTAGTCTTAAAGGTGCTACAGGACCCTCTGTTGCTTATCACCAGTTATGAAGATCACACCACTAATTGCACGATGACTCACTTGAATGGTAACGTTTAATATCCAACTGTACTATCATACTAGCTAGTATAACTGCAGCAGCTGATTACTCCAAATATGTGTCTAATCCTTTTTCCAATCTCGCTAGACTACTTTATTAGCCTCACTAATATTCTGCAACAGCCAGTTCCACAAATTAATAATGTACTTCATAAGAAGTATTTACTCTTATTTATTTAAACAAAGCACTTGATCTCAGACTAGAGTGTTTAGGTCCATTGTATTTAGAGCTAATTGTATTTCTATTTATTTGTTTGTTTTAGCTTCAAATTTGTAACCTTGGGAATATTCTTCATGCTTTACTAACACCAAATAACTGATTTATCCGATTACTGTTTTTGAAGGACAGCTCTAGGAATTGTAATTGATTTCTTTGATTGTAAAGATTAAACAAGCACTCAAAAGCTCAGATGCTTCTCTGAATGTATCATAAATGTGCAAAAGTGGGATGGAAATCTGAAAGAAATATCCCGTTTTTTGGCACAATGGGAAATATTGGGCAAGATTTTCCACTGAGTTATATGCTGGTATGACTCCATTAAAGTCAAGGGAGTCAGTCCAGCAAAAAACTAGAGTAGCAGACAATCTGACCCATAGTGAAATCTGAAATTACCAAGGTATATGGTAGGGAAAAAACATTATCCAAATGTAACATGGTCGTATGTTGCATCCACAAAAGCACCAAAGCAGTCCTAACCATTTTGCCAGCCATGGTAGAAAATGTTTTTAACACCTTCCTCATGTCCAGCAGCCAAGCAAAACCAAAACCAAAACCAAAAAAGGAAGAACAACAAAGAGTCTGGTGGCACCTTAAAGACTAACAGATTTATTTGGGCATAAGCTTTCGTGAGTAAAAACCTCACTTCTTCGGATGCATAGAGTGAAAGAAAAACTCAGTCAGCCAATCAGTTGAGGAGAGGGGAAGAGAAAGGCTGGCCAAAAATGCCCAGCAGCACAGCGGTGTGGTAGCGTTCCCTGGAAGTTGGCACCCATGGTGATGGCCCTGCTTGCCTGCCCCTAGAACTGGCCATCTGCATCCCTCTACTGGCTAATCCATATACAAACTAGCAGCCTACGATGGATGAAAGCTAATGGAGTTCCTCCTTTAGATGAAGCGGTAGAGGTGTCTCCAGCACTAGTTTCAAACTCTCCCGACAGCTTGTGGAAGGAATCATTGCATAAACATCAACAAAAACTTTTAAATAACATTTTAGTTCAAGTTTGATTCCAGAAATAAGTAACAGCGGATGCTGGCTCATTTCTTCTGAACAAGTTTAGTCCAATCCTATTTCTGAACCCAAGGACATTCGATGGAAGATATTTTCTAGAACTGGCTCGTAAATGCTATTTTCCTATCACAGGAAATTTTGACATTTCAGAATTAGTTTCCAATCCAAATCAGAACAGAAAGTGGAAATAAAAAATATCACACAACAAAAAATTCTAAAAGGTTTGAATTGTAAACATGGAAACAATTTTTTTAAATACTTTTGATCGAAACAATTCAGCATTTCAAAATGAAAAATGGAGTTTCTGATTGACATTCTGAAACTAAACAAAATTTTTCATCCCCATTCCCCCGAATCAGAAAAAAAATAGGTAGTCAAAATGGACATTTTATGGAAAATTTTGATTTTGATGACACCGCATCCCTGCCAGAAAAATTGTATGTGAAAACAAAATCAGCTGTTTCCATATTTTCCATCTATTTCCAGTCAAAGTTTTTGTTAACAAGTTGTCTTTTTTTTTTATGTAGAGCTTCCATGCTCTTACCTGAAATGACAGGCGGACGGTTTTCCATCGAACTCCCCACAGTTTAGAAAATACACTGATGGCAGCTATGGAGAAGCCCAATACCAAAAAAGTTCCAATCTGCAGAGACAAATAGGATATTGCCTGGCTTCAGAATTAGCGTATGACAATTGCAATTCATATTTCTGTGTACACTACGGTTAGCTACTTTTGTAAGTGGGTTATAAAGATGACTTGGATTCCATAGGCATAGAGTATTTTCTATCTTTATGAGCTTGATCATCTGAACTGACCTAGTTGAATTAGGTTAGGTCTACACTACATTATAAATCTGGCCTCAGACTCAGGTTTGAGCCCAAATGGACCCCAACCATTCATACACAAATCTTTCTGACTCAGGTCAGCCAGCACTCAGGACCCAGGTCCTAATACACAGCTGGGGGAGGAAGGGTCCAAGCCCGAGTCCCTCTGTGACTCAGATCCAAGCCCTGTCATTTTGCAGTGTGGACACAGCTCAGAAGGTCTGCATGGTGGAGTACGGATGTTAGCATGGCTGTCAGACCCCCAAGTCCAGCAATCGCAAACTCAGGTTTACAATGCAGTGTGGACGCTAACGCATAGGCTTGGAAACACCAAGTCCACAAATGTGGGTTCCACAGACGTGAGTTTATAATTCAGTGTAGATATACTCTTAGAGGCAAAGAGACCTCTAAGGAGAAACACTGAGTGACAGATCTGTTGTTAATAATGGCTAGGTTATCTCTTTGGTCAGGGATGCTACCCCATGTTCTGGGTGTCTCTAAGCCTCTGACTGCCAGATGCTGGGACTGGATGATAGGAGACGGATCACTTGATAATTGGCCTGTTCTGTTCATTCCCTCTGAAGCACCTGGCATTGGCTATTGTTGGAAGACAGAATACCGGGCTAGATGGACCATTGGTCTGACCCAGTATGGCCATTCTTATGCTATCGAATTTGGCCAAGGATGGCTCAGGTCAATCACCTACAGCATGTCAGCGCTGCAATGTAAATGCAGGCTTCAAACTCAAGCCTAACCCCCTTTCCATATACACACCAATCACAGTAACCCAGGGTTTGGACCCAAGGTCCCAGGACTCCACGGGGTGGAGGGTCCGAGTCCTGACTCAAGCTGGTAGCCAGGGTTCAAGCCCTATTGCTTTGCAGCATAGATGCAGCCCCACTGTGAGTCTGCTCTGGGAATCTGCTCAAAGTATCCCATAATCCCACGGGCAACTTTCTTTGTTCTCCAGACAGTCAAGTTTGGTGGCTAGTCAAAGGGCTACATCAGCCACATTTGGGAATGGTGCTAGGAAGTCTGGGATATGGGTGGTTGGACGTGGGCCTGCATAATGTGAACATACTGGAGCCTCAGGCTGGAACTCAGGGTTCAACAATTCCTAACCTGGAGTTACAAATGAGTGTAGATTCTCAAGCCCTAAGTCAGGAGTCAGCAACCTTTCAGAAATGGTGTGCCGAGTCTTTATTTATTCACTCTAATTTAAGGTTTCCCGTGCCAGTAATACATTTTAACGTTTTTAGAAGGTCTCTTTCTATAAGTCTATAATATATAACTAAACTATTGTTATGTGTAAAGTAAATAAGGTTTTTAAAATGTTTAAGAAGCTTCATTTAAAATTAAATTAAAATGCAGAGCCCTCCGGACCGGTGGCCATGACCTGGGCAGTGTGAGTGCCACTGAAAATCAGCCCGCATGCCATCTTTGGCACGCATGCCATAGGTTGCCTACCCCTGCCCTAGGTTAACAAACCCAGGGTCGGCTAACCCCAGTTCTACTAACCCTGGGCTTACATTGCAGTGTTGACATACCTGCTATTAGCTGGCTCAAGGCATCACAATGTCATAAACTCCAATTATGAGGGGGTGCTAATATCACCTGTAATCCATCCTGATTTTTTCTGTCTCTGGGTGATTTTACCAGTGAATTTTAGGGTTGGATTGGCTGACTTGGAGAATTACATTCTCTGTCTACCCAGGAGCACATACAAAAAATGATCAGCAGCAGTATACACTTCCTCATGCTGCTCCCTACCACATGTACTCCTAAATCAACTGGATTTAAGAGCACTAATTCTCACTTTCTGTCTGCAGAGATGTCAGCCATTTTGTTTATAGAGTCACTGCAGCCAGTTACAAAGGAGATGCATACATTGTGCTCTCTCCTGAAGCCTTTCCTTTTGTTTTTGTTGTTTAAATTCCTTAGCCTTGAAGAGAATAGTCATGTTAGACTGAAAATGTGTTTTGGTCTTTGGGTAGAGAACCATCCCATAATTGACCTTAATTGTTGTAAAGTGTGGATACAAAATTTGCTGGAATGACTCAAATATCCCACCTTGTGACTCCAGTGCAGGTACAACTGCTGACCTTCTGATAGCAAACACACTGCTAGAACCTGGGAAATCAAATGGAAAACCATCGCATTATAACATGGTTAAACACTGCCCAGTGACTTCAGTCCTCAGGATCAGAGATCTGCAAAGGCAGATGTAGAATTATATTGCATAGAAAAGTCACTTTGAATGAAAATTCCCAAATCTGATATTGCACAAGGAGGAACCATCTATGTGCTATACCAACAAAGCCTGGCTGGGATGATTTAGTTGGGGATTGGTCCTGCTTTGAGCAGGGGGTTGGACTAGATGACCTCCTGAGGTCCCTTCCAACCCTGATATTCTATGATTCTATGATTATAACACTATTTTCTTCCCATTCTTCCCATTATGTCAGTTTGGACTTGGGATGTACACAGTTCAATATGACCCTAATCAGCCCTAATCTGTCTGACCACCCCTCCCTATTAACCAAAAGTCAGTCATGCTCCCTGGTAGCAAATGTGCACTGTCCTCTACATACCCACTCATCCAAACCCACAAGCTTCTGGAGATTCCCGTTGTCTCAGTAACCCACACGGACACAGCAGATCCATAAACCTGAGCACTGTTTGAACTACAGGCCCCAGTCCACCAGCTTAGATGCAGCAGAAGAATCATAAACCTCTCCATGTGGTGTAGCCACCAGAGGAGGACAAATAGCCACACTGCGTTAGCATGTGGTTACATCTTCAAACCCCTTTGGTTGATCAGGTTTGTACTGGATATAGGAAAATATGATCTATTGCCCTTAGCACCACTAAGACCTTTTTTCTTCTACCCAAGTCTGGAATTATACTGCAATTAGACCATCTCTATCCAACTTTCGGGGCGGGAGAAAATTGGTCTGGGAAACGGATGGCTGTTGAATTAATTGAAGCTGGATGTCTGGAAAAATTACACTGAAGTGGACCGATGGAGAGGATCTTTGCACAGACAGTAAGTGCTTTGTTGTGCGATGCTTTGCTCAGCGAGAGGGGACTGGTGGAAAGAAGAAAGTTTGCAGCAGTGATTCAGAATAAGTGAGGAGAAGGCCAGGGCGCTGTGGTCGAGATTAGTCATTAAGGGAGATGACAAAACACTTCCAAACAAAACCAGTGCAGCTAGAGCTGGCTACCAATCACACAGAATTGTTCCATTCAAACGAGGGCTTCGGTGTGTTCAGTTCTTGGATGGGACAAGCCATCAAGGTAGAACATCAAGGCAGAAACTTTTCTGATCTGCTTCCCTACTGGAATCATGCGCATCACATGATAGGGAACAAATGGACAACATGGCGGCGTTACTTGGAACCTTGGCCAAAACCACTTCCCACAGAAATCTCACAGCTTTTTCCATGACAGAGACCATGGAAGTTCAAGTCAGCATAGTTCAAAGTCAAAATAAGACACTTCCCCTCCACCCCCCCCCCATCAGTTGGGGCAATTAACCATTGAAAAAGATTGAAAGTGGAGTGGTAAATTCTCCATCCCTTGGAGTCTTTATGTCATGGCTGGATATCTTTCTTAACAATATTCTATAGTTCAACCACCAGTGGCTGGGCTAGACACAGGAATCACTGCATGGAAAGTCTATAGCCAGTGTTATGCAGGCGGTCAAAGTAGATGATCATTATGGTCTCTTCTGGCCTTCCCAGCTATGAAATCTATTAGATCTCTCTCTCTTCATTGATCAGCACATTGACCTAGGTTGGTTCAGAAGTAGACCAGACCCAGGTAGGGAAACAAGCTTGGTTTACTGCAAAATATCATGTACTGCCTTCCACCAAGCACACAATTATGGCAATGAAGATATTTACAAGGGTAAGGTGTCAGAGTAAGATAGACAGGGATAGTTCTGCATATGTTATCTACTAATTACAGAGAGTATTAGGAGCTTGAACTCCTGGGGCCTACTAGCAACTCTGCCAGTGACTTGCTGTGTCTCCTTGGGCAAGTCATTTAACTTCCCTGGGCATCAGTTTGCCCATCAAGCATAATATATTAAACTACCCTTCAGGGCTGTTGTGTTGAAAGGCTGGATTACTTGCACTGGAGATCTCTGGATGAAAGAACAGGACCATACCGTCAGGAATACAGATTTATGGAAACACATGTTCTTTGCCAGAGGACTGTTTTAGTTCTCTCACACATTTCCTCTTGACCCAGACCCAAAGACAGAACTGGACCCTACATTGCTGTACCAATTCTCTTCTGCCCCTGGATGCTGCACTCACCCATGCTGCCTCTGTTGCTTCTTTCACCATGGACAGGCACCCAGAAGGGGAGTATATTAGACTGGCAGGTAGAAAAGGGAATTCCTGGCCAGGGGAGGCAGGGCAGGACTGGCTCTGGCTGAGAGTCCCAATGAAGCCCCTTCCCCTGACCAGCCATATACTCTTCTTCCTCCCTGTCACAGTGCCTCCTATAGGTCTCCTCAAACTCTTCAGAACTGGACAACTGAGAGTTTGGTATTTTCCGTTGTTCTGGAGGGTTAAAATGTGGCTTAACAGCCCTGTTTTTAGGCACACGTACTGCAAGGCACTTCTTGTCGCCCTGCAGCTTCAGAGACCCCAGGCCCTGAGCCAAGTCTCAGGCCATTCTAATTAATCCCCCTTCACACAGAAAAGACAAAATCTTGGCCAGTCACACTCGCGCGCACGCACACACACACACACACAGGCAGCATCAGCAAGGGAGCTTCATTGCTTAAAGCTGATCTGGCAAAGGGAAATATCAGTGTTGTGCTCTCTCTTTTACATGTTCAGGCTTTGTAAAGAAAACCTAGAATTAATTCTTAGTATTATTTGTCTCTGAGTTTTTTAATCTTGGAAATCCTTAGACATGTGATAAATGTCATGTCACATCTTCCCTGGCTTGGAAGACCTACTGAATGGCTGTGGTAGCTTATCCATCTTTAACAGAGAGAGATTTTCTTCCAACTGTTGGTTAGGCATGTGAGTTAAACAGGCATTAATAAAAAAACAGCAAATGGAGAGGTTAAACACTCTTGCAGAAAACCCTTTCATTTAATCAGGCTTCACCTTCCTGGGTAGCTCTGATAACATAATCCTGCTAGTTTTCTAGTCCTCCATAGTATTTCTTCCTGGAAAAACAGGTAGACTAGACATGAGGTGCTAAAAAAAAAGCTGCAACCACCAAAACATCCTCACACGTTTTGAGGTGGAAAGGAACCCTTCAGACTACACCTATCAAAATAAAAACCCCCTCAAAGAACAAAAAAAACCAAAAAGAGAGTGTGGCCACAAATCCATTTTATTTTCCTTCACAGGCCACTTTGAAGGCCAGGAGTTGCCTCTTGGCAATGGCTCACAGCACACACTGTAGGCCTTGTCCACACTAGAAAGTTGTCCCATTTTAACTAAATCGGTATAGTTAAAGGGGGAAACCTTTCCTGATGTGGATCCAGTTATATCAGTATAGAGTATCAGAGGGGTAGCCGTGTTAGTCTGGATCTGTAAAAAAGCAACAGATAGTCCTGTGGCACCTTTAAGACTAACAGATGTATTGGAGCATAAGCTTTCGTGGGTGAATGCCCATCCGACGAAGTGGGCATTCACCCACGA